GCAATATATCTAGACCATGGGTTGATAAATAAAACTTACCCACTATTATGCATTTCCAAACTGCGATTGTTCTTGGTCGTAGTTGTAGACACCATATTTTATCCGGATCTAAATCGAACATAAATATTTGCATGTTTATCACTGTGATGGATTGCCAAGCTAAAAAAAATATGGATTATGATTTGAACCTGGATTGCGAGTAAGGATTGAATGTATTATTAACCGGTTCAAAGTCCCATTACATGCAATTACAAAATCTCAACTCTGCTACACATATCCAAATTTCAAATACAGATAGATTGGAGCACCCAGAAATCCAAAATGCCTTGCCGTTGCTGGAAAAATCCCAGAATATACCAATTATTAAAAAAAATTACCAAAATACAGTACTTATAAAACTAATTCCCAAAATACAGCAGTTTCAACATCACTGTCTTTGTCTAAGACAGTGATGTTGATCACCGTTTTGGTCTAAAACGATGATACATCACCGCTTTAGACTAAAGCAGTGATGTTATCACCGCTTTAAACCAAAGCAGTGATGCCATCATCGCTGTCAAGGACGACAGTGATGGCATCACCGTTGATGTGGCAGGCAGTGAAGCCTTCACCGTTGGATCCAACAGCGGTGAAGGGGCGCGGATCGCTGACGTGGACGCGCGCGGGCACTTCACCGCTGAAGACCAAAGCGGTGATAGCCCCGCTTTCCACGTCAGCGATCCGCCCCCCACCCCGCGCCTTCACCGCTGCCGTCGGATGCAGTTATGCGCGGATTGTGGTTTTTCTCCACAATCCGACGCATCAGGAGAGGCCACGTCAGCGATCCCTGCACATCACCGCGTCCAACAAAGGCGGTGATGGCGCTGTGTTTGTTTGGGGCGGTGATAACTGGCCAGGTTTTTTCCCAGCCCCAAACCCTATAAATACCCATCCCCCCTCTCATTCCAAACCACACCACCACTTCATACTTCTTTCTCCCTCCATTTTTCACTCTAGTTTCGTTCTAAGTATGCTCTGTGGTTGCGGCTAAGTCCGATCTTCCGCATCAGAAAGAATTACTAGAGTTTTTGTTTTGTTGTTTTGTCGATACTCTCGCTAGCTTTTCGGCAAAAAATGGACGAAGAGGCTTTGAGAGTACGTAAATTTATTTAATTCTTTTGTGCATTTTTTTTTACATGGGTGCTAAAATTTAAATTGATTTGATTTCATATTTTTTTATAGATGGGTGCTGAGATATACGACCCTAGATTGTATATCGATCCTGGCCCAAGGGATCGAAGGTATTTAACCGGGCAAGATCAACATCGCTCTCGTTCAATTTGGAACAATAATCCGGTAGATACACTACAATTATTTCAATAGTTTTAAAGTTTTTATTTTGCTTTCTAAGTTTTTATTTTGCTTTCTATTGACTGACAATATTGTGTTTTTTGTTTTGTAGGAATCACTTATTCCCATCAGTCATCGAGGTACATGTCGATTGCCCCGTTGGCATCCTCGACTGCATCCCTATCTAGAGAGGGCGGGATTGCACAATTTGAGGCACTTTATGAGGCTAGATATTGACAACGATCTGCTGACGGCAATGGCAGAGCGATGGCGCCCTGAGCTGCATACCTTCCACTTTCCCGAGGGTGAAATGACGATCACCCTCAAAGATGTTGCCATCCTCACCGGGCTCCCGATCACCGGAGATGCCATCATCGACAGCTCGAGAAAACCAGAAGATGGTTGGGGGCCATTGATTCAGGAACGTCTGGGGTTCAACATGCCGACCACCACGCCCGTCGAAGGGGTTGGGCATCCACCACTGAATGCGGGGCAAGTATCGATCCCGTGGCTTGTTGACCACATCCAATTGGAGGTTAATATAGGCCTGGATACTCCTGAAGATCAGGTGGAGCGGTATGCACGTGTATACCTAATTGCCTTGGTTGGTGGGTTTCTGTTCCCCGACAAGTCAAATAAGTGGATACAAGGCATGTGGTTCCCTATGCTCCTCGGTGACTGGGACGAGATCGGGAGAAAAAGTTGGGGGTCGGCCGTCTTGGCTGGAATCTACCGAGAGTTGTGTACTTGCTCGAGGTTGGGAGCGAAACAAGCTGGTGGTGCGATGTTCATACTTCAACTCTGGGCATGGGAGCATCTTCCGTTTCTCGCACCTCAAGACCCTCGGGAATTCTGGTTGCCAGATGATGAGCTACGATTTGTAGCAAATCCCCCATATGGTTTCAAGTAAGTTCAATTTAAGTTGAATTTATTTTAGATATGCAATGGTAGCTAGTTAGGTGAATTTAGATTTTAGTGAACTTAGTGAACTTAGTATGCAATTTTAAGTATGCAATTATAGTATTTTAGTGAACTTAGCTATCTTCCAACTAAGCGAATTTAGAGACATTTTAGGTCTGCAATTCTAGTATTTTAGTGAATTTAGATATCTTCCAAGTAAGTGAATTTGGATTTATTCTAACCAAATCGTATTTAGCTAATTTAAAAATTGCTTATATATGTACTTTTGCTTAATTAGGTGGATCGGAGCAAATACTAACGACCACCAGGCCGAGCACTCTTTACTGTTTTATCGTGCTGAATTTGATAAGCCTTGGTGGAACCAGGTAAAAATATTGAATGTCATGATTTTCAATTTATTAGGTGGAGTGGATATAATTTTTACTAATTACGTGAATTGTAATGATTGTAGGCGGTATGGGATCCATATCCAAATGAAGTGGTTGAGTTGCATCGTCTTAGACATCCCGAGGATCAAGAGACATGGTTGTGCAAGGTGCCCTTAATCTGCTGGCACATGGTGGAGTGGCACCTGCCCGATCGATCTTTGAGGCAATATCGATTGGAGCAACCAATTCCAGCATCCCCACCTCAAGGGTTCAGGGAGCTCCACGCCATTGACCTACGCTACAACAAAAAGGATTGGACCCGCAAACATGAATTCTACATCAACATATGGGAGAATAGAAATCAGTGGGTGGTCCAAGGGGCGCCGGAGACAAGGCCAATGGGGTACCACGATGGCTACATGCGGTGGTATCGGCACTTCACGCTAAGATGGGTGTCAAAGCAAGGTGCTGTTTGGGGCGCAGTGGTAAGTGAATTCCATTTTGGCCTATTTTAGTTAATTTTTGTAGTATAATTACATGCCTATATTTGCTAGAATGTTAATTAACATTATTAGATTTAATGTTAGTTAATTTTTGTAGTATAATTACATGCCTATATTTGCTAGAATGTTAATTAACATTATTAGATTTAATGTTAGTTAATTTTTGTAGTATAATTACATGCCTATATTTGCTAGAATGTTAATTAACATTATTAGAATTAATTTTAGTTAATTTTTGTAGTATGATTACATGCCTATATTAGATGATAGAATGTTAATTAACATTATTAGATTTAATGTTAGTTAATTTTTGTAAAATAATTTTATAGGTTGACGGTTTGGAGCATGCGAAGCACACCGTCGAGAGTGCACCCACCATGGATGAGCGGAAGACATCTTTTTTGCGCAGGCTTTTCAACAACTTGCTCTGTTGTACCAGAGAGCAAAGGAGGGATGTCATATTATACCCTCCAGTGCCTGCTCCGGCCCGACCTTCATTCCGTGCTGATGAGAGGATTGTGCCCCCAGAAGAGCCCCCACGGAGGAGCAGAAGAAGGGTGAGAGAACACATTGATGAGCTTCGTCCGTCTCAGCAAACTCAACTTCCTCAACCATGGCCACATTGTGAGTGGGCTACTAGTACTGAGGGAACCGGAGGGTCGTCAAGCTATGCCCCGACGATGGAGCATGACATGTTCACCCAAGCCACCCCTCAGTTCCACCATCAGCAACAAACTACTCAGTATCAGACCCCGCAACAGCAACATACATCATCGACTTTCTACCACACTTCTGGTCCAACTCAGCAACCTCCACCCCCACCACCTGTCTACACTCCGGTGGGTGGTCGGGTTAAGAGGAATCCGCGCGCAGTTGTCCAGCGGGCTCGTGAAGAAGGAGGAGGAGGTAGAGAGGGCGGAAGAAGGGGCCGAGGAGGTCGTGGAGGAAGAGGAAGAGGAAGAGAAGGGGAAGTGGAGGGAAATGAAGACAACCAGTGAACTATCTATGTCGTTCTAATTTAGTTCCATCTTTTTTTGTTTTCCATGAACTATCCATGTCGTCTAAATTTGGTTTGGGGCTTGTGTTGTTTTCCATGAACTATCTATGTTTCTAAATTTGGTTTCGGATTGTGTTGTTTTCCATTAACTATCTGTCGGCTAAATTTTGTTGGTTTTTACCCCCATGTTGTACCAAAATGAACAACAAACGCCCTTTATTACAATCACTCAACAAGATTAAAACAAGAAGTCCAAATTAAACATCACAACAACGAAAACTACTCAACAAGATTAAAACAAGGAAGTGAACAACAACAACATCAAGGTAGGTTCGGAATTGGCGCCGAATCTTGCTCTAGAGGTGGACCTGGGCAACGCCTCTTGTCATGACCCGGTTGTCTGCACTTTGAGCAACGCTTTGGACCCCGTCGGGCACGTTGTGATTGGTCCATTTCATTGTGAATCCTTTCGGTCCTAGGACGACCTTTGGTGCGCTTTAAGTGTAACGGTGGGATAATCAACTTCCCATTGTCTACAGGCCAATAAGCTTCATCCGGCAGGGGGCTAAAACTTGACGAGTAGGAGTTCCTGATCGCCTGTTCCGTGTAGTAAGGACTAACCAAACTGTAAGCGCTGAGGGTTATCGACTTAGCTACTGCCATTGCATGTGAACAAGGTACTCTTCTGTTTTGATACTTTTGGCATGTACACTCTCCGGTGCGAGTTTCTACGTGTAGAGTTACGGATTGACGATTATGCCCACGTCTTCCTCCACCCCAGATACCTGTTTGCACAGCAAAAATACCCTCATTGCGGTTGAACAGAACAACTCTGTGCTTACTTGATTTCTCTTCGATCTTCTGCATGCCGTCAAATATATGCTTAGCTATTGAATGACCAGCACGCTCCCTCCCTATAGCAGCATCCCGTCTCTTCACAAACCACTCGTTTACCTTCCAGTATGTCATCTCCACTAGGACAGATACAGGCATTGCCCTAATGCCCTTGTAGACTCCATTTATGCTCTCCCCATGGTTGGTAGTTGCAATTCCGAATCTAGCCCCGTTGTCCATGTGAAATGTCCACATGTGCAGATCTTGACCTTCTGCCCATACTGCTCCCGCCCGGTGTATTTGACGGATCGTCTTCATCTTCTGCTCGTACTTTTTTGGTTGATGTGCAACCGCTACAAGACCGGAGAATTAATAATTAATCCATAAGAATTGTCATTTGAACAATAAACCTTGAACAAGCACTGAATTACATTATTACCTGCACTCCATAATTGATCTCTGATGTCTTTCTTCTTGCCAAATTTGTGTTGGAAATTGGCTAGGAAGTGACGAATACACCAACGCCATGTCCATCCCCATTCGTCCGGGAAACCACGGACGGCGTGTTTAATCCCGGCATGTCGATCCGATATAATTGTAATACCCATTCTTTGTGTGACGTGGGCGTGTAGCTGGTCAAAGAACCATGCCCAACTTAGGTTGTTCTCCCCTTCAACTAATGCAAATGCTAAGGGAAAAATACTTAAATTTCCATCAACCCCAGTGGCAATAAGAAGAGTTCCTTTATACTTCCCAGTAAGGAAAGTTCCATCAACCTGTTAAAATGAATACTGAGTTAGTAAAAATTGAAATTAGTAAAGTAATGAAGTAGTACAATATTTTGAGTCCGTAATATACCTGAATCACTGGCATGCAGAAGGGAAACCCGTCAATGCATGGCTTGAATGTCCAGAACAGACGATGAAACATCAACTCGTTCTGTACTCGAACTTGATCTTCAGTTTCTACGTTGTTGTACCAAGGCACGAAAACCGTCCCAGGGTTGGACTCCTCCATTGCGGACATTAGTCTGGGGAGTAAAGCATACGAGTCATCCCAATCACCGTAGACATCAGCCATGGCCTTCTGCTTCCCATGCCACGCCTTCTTATACCTTATGGTGTAGGAGTGTCGATCCTTCACCTCCGCCATGATAGCTTTTATCTTGATATCTGGTTGTGCCTCGATAAGGTGCTTAATGGTTCTTGCCACTTTTTTTGCTTTCAGTTGCCGGTGATCCTGTGAAAGTATGGTTGAGGAGCAACTGTGGTTGTTCTCTGCTGTCCGCATGACCCAGACCCCCTTTCTCTTCATATATGCAGCACGAAGTTGCCACATACAACCCTCTCCAGCATTCTTACAAATGACATGCAGTTGTCCCTTGTCAGAATATTTTACCTTCCATTCGAAATTACGCCGCATGGCTTCTTCGCTAAAAGCGTCTTGCACATCGGCTTTCGAAGTGAACGCCATACCCACTTCCAAATTAGCAGTCGGATTATACACAGGCATGGGCCGATAGTCAGGGGCATCGTTCTGACCATATAAAAATTGATCAGGAACCTCTGTGTAGTAAGGCGTTGGTGCCTGGCGGAACGCCACCTCACTGTCATCGATATCGTCGTTATCGTCCGCATCTTCCTCCTCACTGACTGATCTCAAATCTTCCTCACTTTCATCGTCACTGGAGGCGAATGGATAGCTCGGCGAAGGAGGGTCATCGTTAGCAGCATAACCAGCATCGCCTTCTTGGTCATGCGAAGTACGCCCAGTTCGAAGGGTGTTTTCAATGTCACCCCACTCTGGACCCCAAGCAGGCCATTGATAACCGTCGGGCTGAACGATATCGACGGCAGTCTCACCACCATGTGGCAGGTATTCTTCCCACCCAACAGCTCCTTCAGAACTACCTCCTCCGTAGTTGCTTGAAGTACCTCCACAACCATACCCTCCGGCAGAAGAACCTGCTCCGTAGTTACTTGAACTACCACCCCAGCCATACCCTCCTGCAAAACCATCATCATAAGAATACTGGTGAGAATGAGTTTCACCGACCGGCTCGGTCTCGACATACACCTCTGCAAGCCGCACCCCGTTCTCAGATATGAACTGTGTCATCATGTTCGCGTCGTCATCGTCATTTATGTCAACTCTTTCGTACATGACTCCGTCAGCACTCATGTTGGGATACCGGTAAGTAATTTGACGAACTCTCATTTGCCCGCCCGTACAAGTCCTTTCTGCACACCTGTCATGGAGTTCTTGCCACGAGAATCTCGACTCAATTGTAAGCGAACTGGATTCGCCATCTTCATAGTCGATCCCAATGTTCGAGTTTGTCACCCGACCATTCCAATAAATAATAAGCCGAAACTTCTTAAATTTACCCATGTCTGCAATTTATAATAATTAAGTATAGTATATAATTAGTACATTATGGATACAAAAACAATATCATCCAAAGCGATAATAAAATGCAACTAATTTATCTATTATGAGAAAACTAAACAAATTCATCTAAATTCATAACTAGCTAACTAACATCTATCATATCATAATTAAACTAAATAATATCATAACATATTTTCCAATAACCGCAATTCACTAAATACAAACAGTATAATTACTAACACATCAACATGTAAAAAATACATACTTATAACATACTCAATCCCGATCTATCATGATAACTAAACAAATTAATCTAAATTCAGTACTAACTAACTAACATATATCATTAATCTAAATATATAATTCTAACATACCTAATTCTAGCACATAATCAAAATGTAAACAATACATAATTCTAACATACCGAATCCCGACGAGTTTCTTGAGCAGTAAACTACGGAGGAACCAGCTGCGAAAACGATAATTTTGGTACTAATTTTCTGTTTGGCAGCAGGAGTGTTTGGCAGCAGGAGGGAAGAGGGGGCGTGGCTTTTTATAGGAAAAATTGGAGGCAATCACCGCTTTGGACAAAGGCGGTGAACCATCATCGCCTTAGTCAACAGCGGTGATGGCTAGGTAGCTGTTACCTACCTGTCTACCTACCAGGGCTGTGTAAAACGTGGGGGCAATCACTGCTGTGGACAACAGCGGTGATGGCTTCACTGTTGATGTCCAAAGCGGGGAACGTATCACCGCTTTTGACCACAGCGATGATGCATTCCCCGCTTTTGTCCAAGGCGGTGATGCGTACCCCGCTGCTTCACTGCTTTGGACAAAAGCGGTGATCAACATCACTGTCTTAGACAAAGACAGTGATGTTGAAACTGCTGTATTTTGGGAATTAGTTTTATAAGTACTGTATTTAGGGAATTTTTTTTAATAACTCGCGTATTCTGGGATTTTTTCCCCATATCTCCATCTTCTCTGTACTCTCCACCTTATGGCTTCCCTCCGCCGTCTGCATATCCAGCTCCAACGACTTCCAATCCCGCGCATCCTCCGTCAGATGCTTATCCTTAAGCTCCTCCTCCTCCCTCACTTACTTCTGACTCGATCAACCTGTAGAGATTCATCCACTGCCATCGGCCGGATCTGATTAGGAAGGAGAGGAGGGCGCTTTGAGGAGTGGGAATTATTCATCCTAGATTTTACCTCCATCGGTGGAGCAGAGGAGAAAGTGGAGGTCGGATTCCATTCGCCAACTGCTTGCCTCTCGAACCAAATCTGCCCCAACAAGCAACTCCAAATCCTCATTTGCATTCATGAGAGGAAGAAGGCTCGATATGCTTCTCCTTTCTCTCCCGAGCTCTGCCCAAATCTGTCCCCTCCCCTAATTTTTTTGTTTCTTTATTTTTCTCCTTGTTCGATCTCGCTCTGCTCAGTCACCCGTAACTGCCTGGAAAATTCAATATGAATCCCAACTCACCGTCATTGTTTCATTTGTTTGTCATTCCAGAGAAGCTTCAACTCGTAAAAGCTGAATCGTTTCCATTTTTTTTCATTTTTAAAATTGAATATAATTGTAAAATAAAATTTTGAATTAAAATATCACGATGACTAAATTTTCTGTTAAATACTAATAGTCAACACTAATTAATGCTAATGAAATAATAATTCTGGACAGAAATGAAATATTGAATAGTTCGGGACCATGATTGTCATGCCGATGATATGCTAACCGGTTGAACCTGGTTCGGGTTTTGGTTTTGGTCGGGACATAAGTAACTTTTTTTTTAGTTTGGTATTAACTTTAAGGGGTCATTTGGATCCAGATTTTTAATTTATGGGATTTTGGCTTAAATCACTGGTTTAAAAACCCAGGTTTTTAATTTGTGGAATTTGTGTGAGATTTTAAAATAGCTGATCACCATTAGCTATTTCATAATCCCACAATTGTGGGTTTCTGAAATCTCTAATATTTAAAATCTCTTATCATATAATTACTTTCCAAACGAGTGATTTTAATTAAAATCCCACACTATGTAGGATTGTGCCCAAATCTCACACCCAAAACCTGCATCCAAATGACCCCTAAGAAAATTGGGCTGCCAAACAAGGCCTTAGGTGTCAGGAAATTTTGTTGAGAGCACTGTAGCAGGAACCACAGAACTACATAGCGTTTGCACGCTCAGTTCATTTCCCTTCATCTTCCATGCAAGAGACCCCGATTGCGTTTGCCCTCGCCGCCATTGACGAAATCCCAGCTCGCTCTCTTATCAATTCAAGCTCAGCCACTCTCGTCCGTCTTAACTCTTAACCTTCCCTGCTAAGGTTCAGAAGCGCAATTCATCCTCTATCTCTGGGTTTTACAGTTCTATTTCCCGGCCGCAATGCAGTAGTTTAGAGCTCTTCTTTCGCTTAATCTCGATTTCGATCCTTTTATTTCTCCTCTTGTGGCGAATCTATAGAGGATACTGCGGGCATTGAACAAGAGAAATCAGGTGGGCGATCCAATGCTGGATTCTAAGGACTTCACATGGCGAATCGTAAATTTCTCGAAGCTGGAAGAGGAGATCTATTCCGATGCATTTGTCGCCGGCGGTTACAGATGGTACTTTTTTTTTATGATTACCCGCTTGAAAATTCCCCCACCCCATGTAACCTAACCCTCACTGTGAATAGAGACGTTTTTTGATAATGGCGACACTGTGAATAGAGATGTGATGATCAGTAAGTTCACTGCTGTTTGGTTGGGCAGGAGAGTGCTCTGCTTTCCAAAAGGAAATGAAGTTGACTTCCTTTCCCTGTATCTGGATTTTGCTGACTGGGAAACTATGCCTGCTGGATGGAGTAAGTACGTGGAGTTCAGCATTACTATTGTCAACCAAGTCAGTGGCCGCCTCTCCAGAAAGTTCTGTAAGTTTCCCCCTTGCACTCACTTCTTGACTTCTTGTTTCAATACCTTCGCTTTCCTAGTACCATGAGTGGATTTGATCGAAGATCGTTATATTTATGAATGCTGGTTCCAGTCTTGTCGAATCCAGTTTCAGTTTGGATTAAAGGGATGCGTTGTTTGTATTTTTGGAGAAATCTTGGAAAGTTTACAGATGTGGTACATGCAAATTTGAATTCCCATTGTAGTTAGAGTAAGCTTTGTTCATCCCTTTTCCCATTTCGCTTTGTAATGTATTTGCTGGAATCAGTCCTTTGATATTGCTTGAGGCCTATTAGTTTAACTTTGGGAAGGTGTCCTTCGTTCTGCAGGTTCCAAACATGTTTTCAAGGAACAAGAGGAGGATTGGGGATTCACATCTTTTATTCGCCTCGATGAGCTTCACAGTCGTCGTAAAGGATTCCTTGTGGATGATACCCTAGTGATCAAAGCTCGAGTCACCATGGTTAAATCTTATGACGAGATTCATTCTAGCGACCCTAAACCCACCTTGTGTTGACTAATGTGTCTCCTCCCCTTTTGCAGGAAGCAGAGGTACCAAAATCTGCAGGTGGTCCAGAAGTCGCTGAGCCTGAATCGGAAAATGAATCTAAAGGTGTTCCATCTACGCCACCATTATCCAGAAACAAGGTAAGTGACAGTGAAACTCCCTAAAACGTCTTTCCAATTGTGTCCAACCAGCAAACCACTTCTCATGGCTTTCCCTTCAGGTTGCTCGAACCAGCACCATCACAAGTCCATGCTCATCAATTGTGAAGTTAACTTCAAAGAACCTGATAGCAGAACTTTCAACTATGACAAGTAGTGGGGAATTGACATCTTCAGTTAATGGAATCCCGGGTTCAAATGCAGAACACACTGTGTCAGGTTTAGTCCAGCAACAACTAGAAAAACTGAACGAGTTCTTCGGAATGTCACTCGAGGCTATCAGTGAGGCCAATTCCTTTGACCAAGTTCAGCAAGTTGTCCTGAAATTTGCTGAGCACAATTCTGATCCGATCAAGAAGATGGTGCTTAAGGACTTAGTATCACGCCTTGTAGAGTTTAGAGACAGCATCCCGAGGTCTCTGTCCATTATTGAAACCTCTAGCGATGTTGAAAAGTCCACTGTGCAGGCAACAAAGGAGCTGGAGGGAAAGCTAGTTCAGAGGCAGAAACAACTAAAGTTCCTTGAGTCAGAAGTTTCGAGGATAGAGGAGGAGGAGATGAAGGTAGAGGCGGAAATCCAACTGTTGGGGGCTCTCAGAGAAAAGTTAGTTAATGAGAAGAATTTGACAGTAGGTGAAATGGATGTGGCCAACAGAGAGGCTTCCAAGGAACTAGGTGAACTGAAGGGGAAACAGTTGGAGCGAAAGCAAGCTAGTGAGAACAAGCTGAGAGCTAAGGACAGACTAGCTCAGTCCAATGCTAGCTGGAAGCTTTTCAAGGAGAACCTGGGACTGTAAGGGAGAACATAACTGACTCTTGTAAGATGAATGGTAGCAAGATAAACTAGTTGGACGGCATTATGTTAAAAGTCATCCACTTTTGCTGTCTTTTGTTTCATGTATGTACAGGTGGCAATTCTGACAGATGTAAATATAAACCCACAAGATATGCTACCATTCTACTTCTCTTCTGGTGCTGCATCAGCCTTGTTCACCATCGCTTCTTCTTCTTCTTCCACCTTCGGCCTTGCATCCTTCTCCTTGGCAGCTTGTAGTGCTTCAACCAATTCCTTCAAACACGCATCTGTTGCATCTTCATCGTCCGATTTTGGCATCAAATTCTCTGCAACATCAGCAGGAGTCATCTTCGTCTCCCCCAGGAGAACCTCAATGTCTGCAAACAACTCATGTGCCTCAACATCCAAGTAGTTCCTCGCCAGCAGCTTGAACGCCTCGAAGGAACAGTAAGACATCTCTATATGCTTGTCCATCCTCCCTCTCCTAATCAATGCCGGATCCAGCTTGTCGACGTAGTTCGTTGTGAACACGATGATTCTCTCCCCTGCACAGGCGGACCATATCCCGTCGATGAAGTTCAGTAGACCCGATAACGTGACCTTGCTGTCGTCGCTCTTCCCCTCCACATTCTCCGCGTCCTTTTTAGCTTTGGCCAGAGGTTCTTTCTCGTTCTCTGCTTCATCTCCATCCCCCTCCCCGCTCTTTCCCGCTTTCTTCTTGCCCTTACGCTGGCCGGTGAGGTCAAGCGAACAGTCGATGTCTTCGATCACGATTATCGACTTGCTCGTCGTCTCAATCAACAGCTTCCTTAGCTCGGAGTTGTCCTTGACCGTCGTCAGCTCCAGATCGTATATGTCGTAGTTCAAGAAATTGGCCATGGCGGCAATCATGGTGGACTTCCCCGTTCCTGGGGGTCCGTAGAGGAGGTACCTGGAAAAACAGAGCCGCTCTGAATCTGAATTGGGGGAAACCCTAGAAAAAAAAAAAAAAAAATTCAAACTAAAAACGAAAAACTCACCCACGCTTCCAAGCTTTGCCGATCTTGTTGTAGTAGTGTTTCCCCTGACTGAACTTGATGAGATCCTTCTTAATCCCTTCCTTGGCCTGCTCCGCCATAGCCAGAGTATCAAAGCAGGCGGGGTGTTCAAAGACGATATGGCTCCACTTGGTAGCCTTCCACCCAGACCAATCCTTGCTGGGATTGTTGGTGTAAAGCTTCCTCTGCCTTTTCCTGGACGCAATCGCCTTCCCTTCCTTCAGCACGTGAGCTATGTAATCGGTGGTGACGGCTTCGCGGTGGCGCTTGTGGACTGTGAGCGTGAAGTATCGCCGGTCGGCGGCAGGGTACAGTGACAGCGACTGCGATTTGCTTATGGTCATGCCGGAGGACCACCAAACTTTAACGCCGTCAAAGACGTCGACGACTTCCTCGTGATCGTCCATCGAGAGGAGGACGGACTGGGTGCTGTCTTTGACGACGTCGGCTTTCAGGCGCTTGGCGGAGGCAGAGGAATGGGCGGTGAGGTAGTTCTGGATGGTGACGTAGGCTTCGCTCCGTTTGAGGCGGTCGGCGGTGAACTCCGGGAAGGTGATTTGGATGTAAGGGTAGAAGATGGCGGTTAGCTTGAGGATGTAGCGGTCGAGGGATCCGCTGAGGTTGTAAGGGAAGTATTGCTGGAACATTGCCCAACCGAACATTAGGGCGGCCATTGCTGAGCCTACGTTGCTCAAGAGCTCCATTGCTGCTACGGGTGGAAGGATGAGATGTGGAGAAATGAAAATGGATGCTCAGAAAAACAGAGCTTCCTTTATAGTTGGTGTTCAGAATCAGAGCTGACATTTCGTACAGAGAGGATTCGTGGGAGTAGCCTGCCAGTGGGGTTGGTGAGTGATTTCCAGGAAAGAGACGAGGGTTAACTGTTTTTAGTGTTTCTGCAGGCTTCCATGTTCCTTCTTGCTTATATTAGAATAGCGTGAACGTGATCAGAAGAAGACGAAAAGCAACTCGTTGTCACCGGAGCTGATGTCAGCTATGCTGACGCCAAGAGGCCAACGCTGCTGTTTCCGGCTCAGCCTTGAATTGTGGGGGGTTTTCCATATAATTTTAAAGTTCTTTAACACAGACGTCAAATCAGCGGCGGACACAGGACATAAGAGAGCACTGGGCCGTATTTGAATAGAATATTAAATACCATAAACAAAAATATATAATAATATAGTTTTCATTACAACGCCAATTGTACAAGAACGTCTTTTAATTTAGCAAATTCATCAATAATATAATCTCCATCCATGCTGATAATATACTCTTTTTCAAAGAAAATAGCTAAGTAATCAACGAGAAATTCATCGCTCATTTTGTTGCACAAATCAATGTTCATGTTCCATTGCTGAAATATATTCTCTTCATGGTAGTTGTTGAAATGGCTAGGTCAACACTAGACAAATCAATTTGTATTATGTGTCCATCCCTGTTTCCTCCAGCTTCTCTAATAATTTTGCAAGAGAAGAAACTTCAACTTCCTCACATGAGTAGTGCATTCTCCAAAGAATGCATCTCATAGTCTTCAAAGTCTCGAGGCTAAACTCTTGAGCAAGTTTGTAAATATTTTCTTCATCAAAACACCAGAAAGAACGGTTAGAATCTAGTGCCCCACTCAATTGAGGCAATCTAAATGATGACTCAGCAAGTTTGTAAATATTTTCTTTATCAAAAGAATGGAAAGAAAACCAGCTCTACGGGCTGGCAGAGAAATCCATTTTGGGTCTGCTCGTCTCCTCGTTCTTGTTTTGTTTTGGGGGGATTGGAATTTTTTTTGAATTTTGCAAGGAAGGGTGTGCTTTAGTTTAGAGTTTTTTATTTTATTTTAATGAAACTTTACACTTTTAGGTTTTCATGTCATTTTTCAAATAAAATCATTGGGGCTATAGAAAATTTAGTATAAATTTAGAGTAATGGTTTGGATATGTTCATCTGGACCATTTTACTAGTTACACAAAATTCTATTATCAAATAAAACTAGACAGAATTTTAAATAGTACTGGGCCAAATACCTAAATCAAAAAATTTTATAAGCACTAAACTAACTCTGGATCTGGAGGAGGGCTGAGCCCGGACTTATGTTGGCCCACCTGCATCCGCCACTGCGTCAAATATTATTATATTCCTATTTCGTAGTCATAGCCCAAAGAAATTCCTCTCTATTGGACACACCTGGTCAGCGAATGAATATATGGGTGGTTTGGTTGGCCGATTGATTTCAGCCGATTGATTGGGGCAACATTGTGTGATTAAATGAGACATTAGTCAGTTGTCACTTGACAAAGTAATTACGGGTTCTTCTATTTTAACATAGTGGTTTGAATTGTGTTTACTGATTCGTGGAGTGAGAGCGAGAACGAGGACGAGAGAGCGTTTATTCATAAAGAATTATAACTTCACAGTGTCGAGAAAGTGTTAATATTATATTATTTTAATTAAAATATTATTTAAAATAATACTAGATGTTGACAAATTACTCTCAGAAAAACCAAATAAATTCAAAAGTTATGTGGATACATCCTATGTTAACAAGAAGCATCACAGTTTAATGACCAATGTCTTAATTACCTAAATCTAATAAGTGAAACAACATTAAATAGACAGGACAAAAATTCTAAAACTTGTATATTTGTTATCCACAATACAAGCCCAACCAATTAAGCATAACCGATAGGAACTAGACGATAAAAAATAAGTTTTATTATGGCCCAACTATCAATTGAGCCCAAATTTGCTATCAAAATCCTAAACAAGTTGTTTAGGGCTGAGAAATGGTGTGGTCTGGTACAGACCAGATCATATAGACGGTCTACGGTCCAGACTAAGAGATTAAAGTATAGATCAGAGACCAGACCACATATTATACTGTTTAGACTAGATTACGCATGTGCATTCTGGTCCGGTACGGTCTGGTCTAGATAGACCCCATCGAACGAAAAATGAACACTTTGTTATGTCAACCACACTAAAAATTGAGCCAATAACTGAGAAAAACAATTGTTTTTTTTTTTTTGCCTTAATACATAAAATCCAACATACATGAATAATTTTGACACCCTAAATCTTAGTAAATAACAAAGATACAAAGTCAAAGAATCCCAACTCGCACCATAACGTCAGAAACATTAACATAATGTCATATGAAGATACGATCGTCTCTACTCTCTAGTGATATGTGGTTGTGAATGAAGTAGGGGACGAGATTCTCAAAATTAAGGTTGAGACTTGAGTCTTATTGGGGGAGTTGGGTGAGTGCTCGAGTGGGCTACTAACATGAATTGGGAAGTCGGCTAGATCCACGGTTTGGTATGGTAAACCACGGTCTAGACCAGATCAGACCAAGAAATCAAAACTTCATATAATATAGACCATGAATCAGACGAGATCATTCTTCACGGTCTACTGTCCAAACCAAACTGTGCGGTCCGATTTGATCTAAGGTCACCTGACTCTCCACATGCAATGTTTGAAATCGTTGATCCGAACTGCAGTATCATGCGCCAACAAGAAATCATCGCTCGCGAAGTACAAAATCTCCCCAATTGATATATTCTCTTCTTCTTTTTTTTTTTTTACAAAAATATATTCTCTTTCAATGCAGAGACTTTGACATCTTTTTGGCTTCTTCCGTCAACCAGCCAATGATATCCATCTCCTTCATCAAATCGATTCCCATCACCATCGACAATTTCTCTTCTCCTATGTTTATGTGAAATAAGTTCACAAAGTTTCTACCAAAAATTGCACTTCAACAAATAGAAATTCACTAATTTTGTATGAATTTCCTGAATTCAAGTTTTTGCACTACAAAGCTGGATTGCTGACCCTTGTTTGGTGAATTGAGTGACCTAAGTTGAATTAAAGTAGTGGTTAGAGTGCTAATCAATGTTGTTAGAGAGAAACTCGAGTAGTGAATCGTTCATACTTTATTAGTTTAATTGGGGGTTAATACCTTGTTATGGCCTGAACTATGACCATGTAATCAACTTTGGTCAGTGGTTTGAGAAATTAACATCCTGGCCCGAACTATGCAGCATATAGACAAAATTGGCCTGGAGCGTGGTTTGACCGTTTGTTTGGACGGTCAACACCGTTGACCGTTAGTCAACTGTCCAGGTCACTGCCATGTCAGCATAAAAAAATTCTAATTTCATTTTTCTTTTTATTTTATTTACAAAATTGAATAATTAAAAAAAAAAACTTTTGGCCCACCCATCCCCACCATATCCCCTCACCTTCTTTCCTTTTCGATTAAACCGTTAAAAAATTATTAATGAACAATCGTCTAATAAATGAGAATATCATAAATACCCTAGTATAGCATTATATATCAACATGTACATCATATCCAACAAAGATTTAAAAGGAAAAGTATTGAAACAATACCATAACCTATCGATGTAATCAACCAAAATCAAAAGAATATTTAATAATGGAGTTTTATAGGATTTAGAGTGGCAAATTGCAAATTTGGTCACTAGGACATCTAAAATTTTCACGTTTGGTCACTAAAAAGTATTTTATTCCATTCATTATCACTAGCATTAGTTAAATATTTCTAGTTTGGTCACATGGCTAACAAAACTGCTTGATCAGCCTATTTTAATTCGAATAAATTATACTCAACCCACCACATCATAAAACCTAACTCAACTCATTACCTAACCGTTCTCCTGCCCAAAGATCTCTAATCTTCAAGATCCTGCTTCCAGTTCATAGCACTTACCCCAGGTTAAATACAAAAGTGAGCACTAAACTCATCTATATAATGAAGAGTGAGAAAAAGAAGAAGTTAAAATTTGCAAAAATATTATGCAACCATAGCACTTTTGTTCCAAAAGTCATAAGGGTGTTACTAACGGAGTAACGGGTATAGGGCTATAGGCAGAAAAACTGAGACGGGACCCACCAAAAAAATAGAGAACTCTGTAGAGAGAGAAGGAATTGGGTTGGTATCTCATCTCCACTAGCTTTATACTCGCCCGTTGGGCGGCAATTTTGATTGGTTATTATATTTTTCGTCGTAGTATTATAATTTTATTTATGATTCATTATGTTAAACTATTATACATTGAATTGTTAATCTCACTTACCAAATTTCATATATTGTTTCACATTTTTATATATTTCATTTATTTATGAAAATTTTATTTTATTAGATGAGCTCTCTCTAGTACTTTCTTTATTGATTTATAATTATGTATCGAATCCACATTTAAGATATAAACTAAGAGATTATTAATTTTTTAGCACACAAAGTGACAAAGAAGTTAAAATTTTGAAGGACACAAAAGAAGAAGTTAAAATTTGCAAAAATATTTCAATTAATAAAAAAAAGTGAAGAGCTTTCTTTTTCTCACCCTTCTCGTACGTTGGTATATGATAAAAGAGAATATCGCGATCTAGATCCCACAAATATCGTGCAATATCAGTTACTCGTGTAATTTTGGAAGAATGAGAAACCACATTGGCATCCACATCATCAATCTTCCGCTTCTTCGTTTAACCCCCTGCTACATACTATTTACTTTATCAGATCATCGTCATATAGCTAGCTAGTAACATGTCACTCATGAACATAATAAACATAATGAACAACTCTCACAACTCTACTTTCCATTTTAACATCCAAGGAATCAAGTTGCAATAGGCCTCCAAGGAAAACGATCAATTATTCAACCAAAGGAGAGATGCTCCAAGTCCAAGCAACAAACCCTTTGAATTATATGTTACATGTTTACATCAAAGTATACATGATAATAGAGAACCATAAAACAACTACCAGAATAACGAAGAAGAAATATAACCATTGAATCGAAAAGGGAAAT